GCTGTTTTGCTGCAAGTCTTCCAGGCAAGATACTTTCCCATGTCCAGGTACATCAGGAAGTTTCTGTGTGTATCCACAGTATTTTACCCTTCATGAGGCTATCAGGGCTGAAATGGAAAGGTTACCATATGAGCACTTCACAGATATGCCCACACAGGCAAAGGATACTCTGTTGCAGCAGTCTCATTCAGCTGGGGCTATCTCAAAGAGAAAGTAGCAGAAGTCTACCTGGGCCAGCACCTGGCATGCTGGCAGTAATTATAGAAAAAGTAGAGAGAGACTCTCCACATAAAATCTGCTTCCTCCCCAGTCAGCAGCTGGGGAGATGCCCTAAGCTCAGAATGTCTGTCCTACAACAAGGGAACAATCTGGACTTTACATGGACTAAGGTACACACAGAGGCCAGGTCAGTGTCCAAAGACACCCGCCCATGGCAGGGAAGAGGCTATAATGGAGACGGGAAGTGAGAAAAACACAGCAAGCCAGGAGAGAAACGCCCAGAGGGACCCTGAGCTATCCACCCTCAAGGAGGGAACAAGCAGATCCAGAAGAAAACGGTCTTCCAAATGTGCTTCACACATGTGGTGTCCCCTCCACAGCTCAGGCAGACCTGTGCCTGGACTGGCATGGAAACAGCTCTGTGTAGGTCACACTGGGCCACCTGGCCTCTCCATCAACTTTTAGGCCTCAGTCACAGAAGAGAGAGGCTGTGTGACAGTACAGTCTATGCCACATAGGGAATGCCTTCTATGCAAATAAAGGTCATAACTAATTGGCTTTCCTCTAAATCCCTGCCTGGGTGTTCATGCTAAGTGGTTGTGGGTGGTGCTGGTATCTATTCAAAAATAGCTTAGCTGGCTGACTCTGGTGGTCAGTGGTGGTAAGAGAAGGCCAAATAGACTGTGATCATGTCCATGTACAACAGCTACTGCAGGAGAAAACAGCCCTGAGAGCACATATGCCTGTGACACTGGTTGCTAGGCAGACTTGGGTCACCTGGTAACCCAAATCCCAGTGAACAGGAAAACAACGGCTCCAGATAAACATGCGGGGGTAGGAGGGGTTGGTGTTTACTATGCTGGGGGTGTGTGGGGAGAATATATTTCCCACTGAGAAAGTAAAATAGCCCCTTGGTTCCCATACTGAGGCATCCCAACGCTCCTGTGCCCCAAGGAATACTCCAAGGGGCGCCAGGAAAGTTAGCTGGCCTGGCATGCTACAGCAGAGTGCTGGTGCCCTGCCCACTCAGCACTCCACAGAGGTGTCCTAAGGGCATGTGAGCCTTGGGGATGGGGGGTGGGGGGAAAAAAAAAAACAAACAGTTACAACACCACCACAGTGAACCACAGTTTTGTAAGAGCCATAATATAAATGATTTCCTGGGTCTGTTTTCTTTTTTTAATTCAAATATAAGCCATTTTTCTGCTCAGGTAAACTTTTAGCATCCCAAACCGTGCAACATAACATTCAGGAGCCATAAGATGGTGCACGACAACAGAAAATTAAGTAGACCTGCACTGTCCAGCAAAGCAAGATGGACTGATCTGTTTTCACTGAAATGCAAAAATTAAATATACAAGATTACATTGTCAGAATACAATTTTTCATTTAAATAACATCAAGAATTGGGAAACACAAGTAAAAACAATGAGATTTATTTGCAACATAGGCCTATGGACTTGTTGAAAAAATCTAGTCCATATTTTCGCATTAGTAATAAATGAGGCTAGCTGGCAGGATGTTTCATTAAACTACCCCAAAGTCAACGAAATTCCCATTTTGCCATACTTGCCGTATTTGCTATTGAAGCAAAATATTGCCGCACACTGTGGAATTAAGTCGTCATGGGAGATTATCAGCGTTAGATGATTGCACAAGAAAAGATGACAAACGCCGAAGATTCAGAACTTAGAAGCCGAGTAGAAAGAACTGCAAATCTATTACTTTACGAGGCCTCGGGCAGTGGTCTCAACAGCTGATACCTTCTGAGTGCCTGCAGTTAGCCATAGTGCCCTTTACCTCAGATAAGTATCTATCACACTATTTTTTACCAATATCATTTTAGTCCAAATTGTTACAAGCCTAACTTGAGGCATATTAGTAGGCATTTTGAAAGGCAAAACTGTGCTTACACACTCACATTCATGCAAGTGCTTGTCCTCCTCCTGAGTGAGATTAAGACAAAGAGTCTAATATTACCACCAGTTAGTAAAAGAAAAGTTTAAATTTAAAAACAAGTCCTACAGTCCTGGAGGAATGAATCTGGTGGGTATGTTGAAGAGAACACCTTCACACACTACAGGAGGCAGAGGAAGGCACATTTCTACTGTGCAAAGCTTTCTTCTGTCAATCTGGAGACCAGCGGTTGGCCCAGCACACGACAAGCAGTCATCCCCCCCAAAAATCAGAGGAATTTAATCTTCTGCCCTCATTCACAAAAATCATGAGGCCTTATACAGAGCTTTGAAAATACATCATTCTGTGTCAGTAATAAAGACATCGATTCTCTCTTTTTTTTTAAGCTGAGAAGACAAAGTTTAAGGAACACACCCCCGGCTCTACAAAGTAACGAGCTACCACCAGGACAGTGACTCAGAAGTCACTGCCTGCCAGCCCATGGCCTGTGCACAGCCGACTGAACCCTCTTCACACAGGACTGGGACGATTCCCAGTCACTTGTCAGGGCCAGCCAGCCAGCACAGAATCTCAGAGCTGACTCTAGACGCAGGTGCCAGCAGAAAGTAACTGGCATGAGTTGCTGGTCCCCATGGCTGTGTATGTACTGTGTACAAGCTGTGAGGATACATAAGGAGAGCTGACAGGGTGGCTTTGTTAGAGCTTAGGCCATACTTCCCTTTTAAGCAAGCATAAGGCTAGAATTAAGCAGCAGAAAAATGCAGTTTTCTGTTACCAAAACAGACTCCACATAAGACTTTGTTACATTGATTGACATTAAGGAAACGACTAAACATGTCCTAAGTACCTCTGCCCATGCTAAAAAGAAATATTCCAGGTATATAAATAATTCAACAACTCTTGTGGTTTAAAGCATCAACTTCATTGCCACCTCCAAAGTTGTTTGTGTTGACAGCAAAGTTGGAATAGAATCGCCACCCTCAAAGTACTTAGTTTTCTTCAGCTACATGTTCCAGCCAGTTAATTTTTATATACCACAATCCAACTTTTTCATTCTGATAACACCTAGGGCCACTAATTAAGGGCTTAGTTTGACTGGCAATGCACAGACTTGTTCCTACCAGATGTTCCCTGCCCCAAGGAGCTTACTTGCAAGCAAAGCTTACAAAATAGACACCTACACTATATCCATTACACAAATATGCAAGGGCACAAGAGTTGAAGAAGGATTTGGAGAAGATGTGCAAGATCTATGTGAGAAACCTCTGCACCCCAAGCTGTGGGGATGAACAAGTCATTTCATTTGCAGAGAGTGCACTCTGACTCTGGAGTACACATGCAACTCCAGAACATATATTTAAAAAGCTGCCTCAAACAATTTGACTTACATTTGGAGAGGATCTCAGCGCTAACCAATTCAAAACTATAAAAGTAGTGTAGTGACTGTAATACTGGATGCCCGCTAAAAATTCAGCCCTTGAGTTACAGGCCTCTTTTGCTTCCCTTATTTGAAGCATTTCACTACAGTGGGCACAATCCCCTTTTTCTTACTCCTTTGTTCTGTCCCACAAAGCCTGCTCTGGAACAGACTCAGTTGCCAGCTGTTACCAAAGATGAACCCTAACCTGCAAATTCAGATCTGCTTTTGCCTCTTGGTTTCCAGAAGTCAGCCAAAAATCAGAGAACTCTTGATTCTGGCCTAATCTCTAGCAAACAACACCAAACCATTGAAGCAGGAGGTTGAACAACAGGCTGAGACATCAGGCTCCAATTCACCATCACTTCTTGGATTTATCTGCAGCAGCTGAAGTACTTGAAGCCAATGGGCTGGACTATGGACTGCAACAGCCAATATGCTGCCATTGATCCACCCCTGCAACAGAGATAGTAACATCCAGCGAGGAGACAGCTAGATCAGCAGGACCAGTCCTTCCAGGATAAAACAAATTTGAACCCTGCCAGTCACACTTCACAACCCAGCCACCTTTGCCAGAAGCAGAAACTGCTAACAGTACACGCTGCTCCAACAGTGGGTGACATACCAGGAGCGAATACATCAGCCAGCCACTCCTTCCCTTCCCATTAGGGTAACATCTGGGGAAAGGGCAGTAAAGGGACAATAACTTCTTCAGCAACACTAGCATGAACCAGCAGACCTCTGAGTCAAAGCCCTCTGAGTAGAGTTAGTGGTCAACTGCCTAAAGACTAATATTAGTAAAAAGAAAAGAACAGAACAAAACAAACAAAACAAAAAAAAACATTACCTCAGCACCCAAAGCATGTTTAACTCCTCAATTCATTTATATGAGGCAATGGCAGCCTCTTAGCTTTACCAAGTGAGGGAAGACTAGAAAGACCCACCAAAGCAACACTAGACCAATTCAGGAGAGATGATACAAAAAGAGATCTTCACAGTGGGCATAAATGTCATCTTAAAAACATTCCCAAAGCTTGGATGCCAATCCAAGGTGAGTCAAATTTCCCAAGTTTACAAAAAATGAGTTGAAAGTCTACCCAAGGACAGTCTCCTGGGACTTTGCCTGATTGGAACTGTTGGAAGCTAGAAACACAACAGCAACTTGTCTTCCCTTGAATTTAGAGTCTTCTAACAAAGATCATAAAGTGCAAAAGCAAGTGGGTAATGAAGGAGAAAAGCAGCTAAGCATACTTTTTTTTAAAGCTCAGAAAGCTCTTGCTTTGGGCTGTGAATGGAGATCCATTCCTATTCTTTCAAAATTAGTCCCTCATCCTCTGCTGACTCTGCTACAGACCTGATTTTATGCCCACACCAAAAAACTTTTTGATAGGTTCAAGGCCAGCAGGACTAGACCTATTAAATAACACATACCAGAATACATACACACCTGCATGGTTGACAGACAGATTACGAGGAAGCTGAAAACACCGAAGTCCAGTTTGCGACTGGCTGTTCCACAAGCATCTAAAGGCAGCGGAGAGAAATCATACCAGCAACCAGGACCTATCACACTGTCTGTATCTAGTGGGGAGCTCCCATCCGTCTCTCTCTTTGTGATACCTATCCCATGTCCATACTTGCAAGAACACCTAAGAGAGAGCATTGCATGTTCTATTAACAATTAGTACACTGGCATGAGGCTGGAGCAAGGCGAGACACCCATAGTCCCCAATGGCCTAGCAAAACACATGTAGATCCAGAGTGTGAAAGTCTGGCTTTCTGCCCATACACATGTATACCAGTCACTGTATCACTACCCATGGCGGACTGCACTGCCCCCTCTCATGGTCTATATATCAGAATTTCAAGAAACACTGCAAACTTAACTCTGTCTTCTCTGCTGAGGCTGCAAAAAAGCAGCCCACCTGTTTGCAACACAAAACCTTGGCACTAAAATGAACAAAATGGCTGCAAATGCCCACTCCTACAGTTTTTCTTGTGTGCCCCCAAAGTGTCCTGAAGGTTGCATATATCCCCCTGAGATTGCTCTCTGAAAACTCTCATGGTTTCACAACTTGAAGTTCCAAGAGAAAAACAGTAAATATAGAGGAGGTGATCACAACCACAAGGCCCATGGACGTAATGCTCAAAAGAAATCCCCCGCTGCCTCTGCACAGAGATATTCTGCACTGAATCCGTCCACCACAACCTAAAGCAATGCTCTTATTTTATTTCCAAAGAAATCTAATCCTCCCTCCCTCCAAAACCACAGAATCTGCAATCCCTGCAGAAAGTGGTGCATGGACATGAAAAACTTTGAGAAAATATCAGCACTGTTTTTAACAAAGTTGCCATCAGCCTAGCCAGAGTGACTGTGCAGAAGTGCAGACCTACTGCAATCCGCCTCTGTGTAACACATACAAAAGACTCCACTAGAGTCGAGTATGTGGATCCCCAGCCCCCATCCCAGGCAATGAGGGCTGCTACTTTTTCCATATCCCTTCTTTGATTTGAGGCCAGACGTTGCACTTCCAGCAGCACAGATGCAAGTCCAGAATAACTTTACTGATTTGAGCAAGTACCTCCAGATTCACAACACTTTCACCAGATCAGAATCTGCTACTTTTTGTAACTAGCTCATCATGACTCCATTTTTATCCCATTGCACATAGTTCAGAAATTCTTCTTTGCATTTGGCAGAAAGGGCTTGGATATTCCTTATCCTGAATTTGTGGTCTTAGCTTTCCTTTTAAAAACTATATAAGGACCTAGGGAAAGTTAGAAAAGCCACGGGTCAATGCAGTGAGCCAGACTGCAAACTTCAGCTAAGATCCCGGCCTTCTCTCAAAAGAGACAGAAATGTAAATAACAAACAGAAAGGCATTTAAGGCAGATTGTTTGTGTACAATACCTTGCACAGTGCGGTTCTAGCCTGCTGAGGTCTTTAGGGACTACAGATTACACACACAGACACAGATAACTAGATATTCAGGCATATGCCTATGTAGCTAAATGTAAACCTCATTTAAAATAAATATTTCTAGACTAAAAAAATACAGACACATATGACTATTCATTTCTCTGTGTCACCTAATGAATTGTGCAGGGTAACCCTGAATGCAAAGGAAAGAGACTTTAGTAACCGGAATACAGTCTAGGCCAGTTCCTACTGAACACACTGGGTGAGAGGAAACTGACCCAGCATAATAAACACTGAGAGTTAATACCTTTTATTATCCCTATTATTAATTACCTGAAGGGTGCAAAAAACAACGAAGACAAAACTGGATGTTCTTACCTTTAGCTGGAAAGGTTGGATTTCATTCAAACTCTGGTTCCTGAGCTTTTTGGTGAGGATCTTCAGCATGGTATAAATCCGAAGGGCCAAGAAAGGGTTAAGCATGCACACATCTACATCTGCCGAGCTGCTGCTACGCTTGGAGGAGCTCCGCAGAGCTTGCATTCAGCACCCCCAGGTACACAGGGGGGCAATGCTCCGGACAGCTCGCTTTCAGCTCTGCCCCTCTCTTTCCTCCCCCGCTGCACTCTGTCTTTCAGCCCCCAGCACAGGGGGGGTGGGGGGGAGGGGGGCGAAGAATCTTTTAAATGCCTGAAAAAAATATAAATATAAAACTTCCCTTGCTTGTTTTTTTCCCCCCGTTATGCTTCAGAAAGAACGGAGGTAACAGCTGGCAGGGTGCTCCGAGGGGACATTTGGTGCAAGGTGTTTACTTAAAGAGGCGGCCAAGCTCTTTAGCCGAGGCCCCGGGCTCTGCTCATGGCAGCGGTCTAACGCGCCCCCCGCCCCTGCGGCCGCCGGTGCCCG